TTCTGAACCACATTAAATTCTTGTGTACATTTATCTGCTTTTAAGTAGTTAATTACTGTGACAACACGAGAACTATAGTTGCAACATAATACTGTCTTAACAAGTAATATGTCTCAGCAGAACGATAGATTTTCATAGGCATATAAATCAAGAATTGCCATCCCAAAAAATCTATGAAATGTGAATTCAAAAAAATGGTGTTCGGCTTGATTAGACAAAATCGAAATGAAAAAAATCAAAAACAAATAAAATTTCATTTTTTTTGAAAATGTAGAATTTGAACTGAAACTGAAATCTTACTGTTCCAGTATTCGTAACATTTGAATTGATTAAACTCAAGTTCTTTCAATTGGTAAATTTTATTAAAAAAAATTGAACAAATTAAGCTTAACTTGACAACGACGTATTAATCTTTTTTTTTAAAGAATAATATTTTATTAGGTATAGATAGCCAACAATTGAGGAAGGATCAATCCTTCATTACAGGTAATTCCAAAATTATTGGCCAACAAATGAGCAAACCGATTCACACAACGTTTAATAAATGAAAAATAGCAGGATGAAAAACTTCTAGATATAAAAACAAATAATCTTCAGTGTAAGCTCCATACAATGCCAATGATGAGTGTCCTATTGTGATATTGGAAAGATAGAGAGAAGAAGGTGGGCCTACGAATAAGGTTCTCACAAGGAGATTTGGAGGGGGCTTTGCTTGTAGGTTGCTATCAACCTCGTTCATCATCTCTATCCGAATCCATGGCGAACGGTATATCAATAATCCCAGTTATATGATTATGTTCTTAAGATGAATTTGATTTCAAGATTCGGTTATTATGGTTTTCCGCATAAAGTTAAATAAAAGTCTTTCAATTGGTATCAAAGCAGGGTTTTGAAATCGATTCATCTTAGAACTCAAATATGTTATACATTAATTTTACGCTTTTTGCATTAATTAAGGCTATCACTCAAATAAAATAACGAGAGTATTATTAGTTTTATATTTATGAAATTTACTAATCTTGTAGTTGCTAAAGTGAGGCGTAGATTAGTACAATCTTATAAATATAAGAACTATATCAATGTTTAATGATTTAGATGATATTAAAGATTATAATATTCTCAAATTGCAGTCATAATTAAGAAATTGAGACTAGCTCAAAGGATAGTCGATTTTAATTAATTATAAACTCGGTAGGGTATCATAATTTATATTACTTGTCAATTAGAAATGTTCTCCTAAAGGTAACATGACTAATTGACGAGTGAGATAAATTATGTTTGACCTTAATTAGGTGTTATAAAAGATTATTTACGCCAACATAGAGTGAACAATAGGTATACTATAATTCACCAAAGGAGAACTTGTAGTGATATCGATAGTTCATGTTATTTGACTCAAGGTCTTATGTGAACATCCTTTTATCTTTACCTTATTATATTTTGCTAAATTTATTTCAGTTGCTATTCCTACTTCGTTGTACTCGGATGCTTCTGGTATTAAGACTCTCAGTGGGTCAAATTTCTCCGAATGGTATGAAAAAATTAAATTCACCTTGGGTGTTATGGATTTGGACCCAGCATTGCTTACTGAAAAACATGTGGAATTAACGAATGCTGACAGTGAGGAAGAAGTTAGCCTAATTGAAGCCTGGACCAAGTTCAATAGGCTTAGTCTTATGCTTATTAGAATGACCGTTGCTAATAACATTAAGACTTCTCTTCCTGAGGTTGCCAATGCTACGGAACTGTTAGCGGCTATTAAGAATGTTTTAACTCAACAGACAAGTCGCTAGTAGGGATACTCATGGCTGAATTGATTACCATGAAATATGGTGGTGATAAGGGAGTTTAGGAACACATCCTGAATATGACTGATAAGCTGCCAAACTTGGAGCTCTTGGCATGAAAGTGGAAGAATCCTTCCTTGTGCAATTTATCCTTAACTCACTTGTTCGGCCCATTCAAAATCCACTATAATACTAAAAAAGACAAGTGGAATTTTAATGAGCTGACTAGTATGTGTATTCAAGAGGAAGTGAGATTAAAGCAGGAAGGAAAATCACTTTGCACTGCTTGTAACTCATGGAACTATGAAGAAGAAAGGGAAATTTATGAAGAATGGAAAGAAATTTGCACCTAACAAAAGATATGAGCCAGGTAAAAGTAGTCAGGGTCATGGAAAAACTTTTGTTGTCACCTGTAACTTTTGTGACGAAAAGGGACACGTAAAAAAAGGAAACGTAAGGGTTGGTTCAAAAATAAAGGAATTCATCTTTCGTTTTTACGTTGTGAATCAAATATTATTGAAGTTCATTCTTACACTTGGCGGCTTGATTCTGATGCTACAACTCATATCACAAATTCATTACAGGGAATCCTGAGAACTCGGAAACTGGAGGAAAGTGAAAAGTACATCTATATGGGGAACCGTCTCAAATCTAAAGTGGCATTTGTTGGCACTTATCGCCTCATATTAGAGACGGGCCATAAGATGGATCTTGAAAACACTTTTCATGTGCCTTCGTTTTCTAGGAATTTAGTTTCTTTGTCAAAACTGGATGTTTGTAGTTATTCAGCTTCTATTGGTTGTGGAAAACTCAGTTGTATGTTTAATTCAATAATAGTTGGTTCCGATATTTTTTGTGATAGATTATATATAATATCTTTGAATCATGAGTCTGAACAATCATTATTAACCATTCATTCATAAGTTGGCGTAAAGCGAAACTTAAATAACGAAAATTCTTTATCTTGTTGCATAAACGTTTGGGGCATATCGCCAAGGAAAGAATCGAAAGATTGGTAAAAAACAGTAATTTTGGAAAATGTAGACTTTAGTTATTTACAAGTTTGTGTGGATTGTATTAAGGATAAGCAAAACAAACACAATAAAAGAGGTGCTGTTAAGTGTATATTTATACACTTAATTCTATCTTTTAATTGGAGCTTTTGATGTGTTTTTACGATAATTGGTGCTTAATTTGGTTATTATTTGTATTTTAGGTGCAAATTGAAGAATTGGCAACTTTTGGGGTGAAAAATGCAATTTCGGAGAAAAAGTGGGCCAAAAGTGAAAAAAGCAGAATTCTGGAGAATTAAAAGACCGCACGGCCGTGCGGATTTTAGTTAAAAATCTCACACGGCCGTCCGGGTCGACGTGATGGCGCAGTGAAGGAAACTCAATTACACAAGGAAACCCGCCCTATTATAGTTTTGCACCCTATTTAAAGGCCACAAGCACAAAATTAGATGGATCTGAGATCTTTACCTTTTATCTTTATTATTAGTTTTTAGTTTTTTTATCTTTTCTACACGCAATCAAGGAGCAAGAGAACGAAGACGAAGACTTGACGACACTTCATCCTAGTTTTCCTTTTTCCTTTTCTTTTCTGATTTTTATGAATTTTCGTATTTTTATTATGCTTTTCGTAACGAACATGAGTAGCTAAGTTTTTATTCTAGGATTTTATTGGAACCCTATGTGGTAACTCGAACCTATTTTTCTACTTTTATGCAAGTTTAATTCTTCGATTATTTCTTCTATCTTGATTGTATTTAGTGCATGAGCGTAGCTAACTTATGTTGCTATTTGTTATTGTTAGAATTGATTGACAGATCGTTTTAATAATTAGAACAGGGATAGAAGAGCCTTCGAGTAGTTTTTCACCGAATGCGTGTGTTGATTGCATGTATTATCGTAGACATACAGATAATACCTTAGGTAGCCGTTTACGAGACTTGTTATTTAATGCTTTATTTGTACTAGGTTTGCATAGACATATAGTGAATCTTTTATGAATAATAGGTTTATAGCGCAGCGACAGCTGGTTATGAGTAATTTCGTGTCTTGGGTTAATAATCGGGAATCGTAACTTGCATGATAGGTGATTAATCGGGTGAAGAATTATCGCATAGGGGGAAGATAAAATCCTAGATCCGTTTATTATTGATATTTTCTCGTGATTACTTGCGTTCTTAATTAGTTTAATTTATTTAGTTAATTAATTTGACAACCCTGCGTAGGCTGGATAAAAATCACAATTGTTAGGATTTGGTACTTAGGATTAAATAATTTGCGTATTCCCTGTGGGATCGACATCCGACTCTCACGAGTCTACTTTACTACTTGTTTGCGATACGTACACTTGCGTGTTGGTATTTAGCACCCAACAGGTGCCACTAGAAGTAAAGAGCTTCTTGAGTTAATCCATACAGATATCTGCTCACTACATATTCCATGTTTTAGTGGAGAAAAGTATTTTATCACCTTCATTGACGATCTATCTCGTTATTGTTATCTCTATCTAATTCATGAAAAATCTCAAGTTGTTGACATGCTTGTTACGTAGTTCGATTAGATAGAAAAAATAATGTTATACGATCAGATCGGGGTGGGGAATATTATGGTAGCTATGATGAGTTGGGACAAAATCCTGGCCCATTTGATAAATTCTTAGAAAAACGTGGTATTTATGCTCAATACACAATGTCTGGAATACCACAGCATAATGGAGTTGCTGAACGTCGTAATCGTACTCTTATGGATATGGTTAGAAGTATGTTAAGTAATTCAACTGTACCCATTTCACTTTGGAATGAAGCCTTGAAAATTGCTATGTATATCTTAAACCGGGTTCCCAGTAAGGCACTCCCAAAAACTCCGTACGAGTTGTGGGCTAGTAGGAAACCTAGTTTAAGCCTTCTACATGTTTGGGGTTGTTCAACAGATGCTAGAATATACAATCCAAATGAAAAAAAATTGGACCCTAGAACAATTTCTGGATATTTTATTAGTTATCCGCTAAAGTCAAAAGGGTACATATTTTATTGTCCTAACCATACTACGAGGATAGTTAAAACTGGAAACACTAATTTCTAAGAGAATGGTGAAGTTAGTGGGCGTGTTGAAGTAGAAATTGAGTAAATTAGGGTGAAAATTTTATCATCTTATTTCACTCAAGATAAAATTACTCTTCAACCTATACAGCAGGTTGAACAAATGTATCACCACTCCATTCACCACTCATCATTGGCAATACTGTAGAACCACCACAACCGGTAGCTTTGAGAAAATCTCAAAGAGAAAAGAAATCTGTCATATCCGATGATTATGTGGTGTATCTACAAGAATTTGATTTTGATATCGGTATTCAAAATGATCTAGTTTCATATTCACAAGCCATGAAAAGTAAAGATTCTAGTAAATTGATTGATGCTATGAATGAATAATTGAAATCAATGGACTATAATAGTGTATGGGATCTTGTCGAATTGCTTAAGAACAAAAAAATAGTCTCTTGTAGATGGGTCTTCAATACCAAACGTGACTCTAAAGGCAATATCGAAAGATTTAAAGATAGAATAGTGGCCAAAGGTTTCACTCAAAAAGAAGGCATTGATTATAGAGAGACCTTCTCTCATTATGATTTGTAGTTACACCAAATGGATGTGAAAACCGCTTTTCTTAATGGGGATTTAGATGAAGATATCTTATGGACCAGCATGGACTAGCCTGAAGGATTTGCAAAACAAGGAAACTAGCACTTGGCTTGTAAATTAAAGAATCCATATATGGACTTAAACAAGCTTCTAGACAATGGTATATAAAATTCAATGATACCATTACTTCCTTTGGATTTAAGGAAAACACTGTTAACCAGTGTATATATCTAAAGGTCAGTGGAAACAAGTTTATCTTTTTAGTCTTGTAAGTGAATGATATTTTACTAGCAAATAGTGCTCTTGGTTTACTTCACGAAACCAAAAATTATCTTTCAAAGAATTTTAAGATGGTTGATATGGGTGAGGCAGATGTTATTGGGATAGAGATCTTTAGAGATCGATCTCGAGGATTGTTAGGATTGTCTCAAAAAGGATATATCAATCGAGTTCTTTAAAGATTTAATATGCAGTTTTGTTCAGCCATTAATGCTCCTATCACGACAAGTGATAAATTAAATGAAAAAAAATGTCCAAAGAATGATTTGGAAACTGAGAAAATGAAATCGATTTCATATGCATTAGCAGTTGGAAGTCCGATGTATGCACAGACTTGTACTAGACCAGATATTAGTTAAGTAGTGGGAGTACTTGGTAGATATCAAATTAATCCTGGAAGAGAACATTGGAAAGCAGCAAATAAGGTTATGAGGTATCTTAAAGGAACGAAGGATTACACGATTACTTATAAGAGAAGGGATAAATTAGAGGTTATTGGTTATTCAGACTCGTATTTCGCTAGATGTTTAGATAGTAGAAAGTCCACATCGCGCTTTGTATTTATACTAGCTGGTGGAGCAATCCCTTGGAAGAGTGTAAGCAAAGTATTATTGCTTCTTCCACAATGGAGGCCGAGTTTGTAGCATGTTTTGAGGCCTCGAGTCATGCACTATGGTTGCGAAATTTTATCTTATGGCTTAAGGCTATTGACTCAATTGATAAGCCTTTGAAGGTATATTGTGATAACACCGCAACCGTTTTCTTCTCTAAGAATGGGAAGTATTCAAGTGGATCAAAGCACATGGATCTTAAGTACTTGGTTGTTAAAGCAATAGTCCATAAACAACAAGTGTCAATAGAAAATTTAAGTACAACTCTCAGGGTTGCTGATCCATTAACCAAGGGATTGTGTATAAGGACATATGAGGAACATATTATTAGAATGGGTCTTTTAATCCATGATTTGATGAGTAGTGATTATGTGATTGAAACTTAATTTATTTAATCAAATGTTTCTGTTTTCCGGTTTCCAATTATGTGTGCACATATTATAGTTGGAATTAATTTAATAAGA